GCAGAAACAACAGCAATCATATGGGATGCCTTGAAAGATGCTAACATGCCAACACCGGATAAAAATCAGTGGAAAATAATAGCACATCGTTTTTATTCGCTATGGAATTTAGCCAATTGCTTGGGTGCTTTAGATGGAAAGCACATAAGAATAGAAAAGCTACCAAACTCAGGATCGCTTAACTTTAACTACAAGGCGTATCATTCAATTGTTCTTATGGCATGCAGTGACGCTGATGGCCTCTTTACATACATCGAAACAGGATTTGCTGGCAGGAACAGTGATGGCGGTATATTTCGTGCTTCAGCAATCAAACATTTCGTTGAAGGGGGCAATCTTGACCTTCCTGCTCCTTTACGATTGCCAAATGATAACAACAATTACAAATTTCCATTTTACTTTGTAGGAGATGAAGCGTTTCCGCTGTTACATTATTTGCTAAGACCTTATCCACAAAGAGTACTTGATAATACGAAAAGAATATTTAACTATAGATTGAGTAGAGGAAGGAAGACGGTAGAATGCGCCTTTGGGATGATGACGGAGAAATTACAGGTTCTAAGTACTGCGATTAGATGCCACGACTATACAAAGATAAATAATATCGTAAAATCTGTGTGCATTTTACACAACTATGTTAGAAAAAGAGAAGGCATTCCATATGGTGCGTATGAAGAAAATTCCAATAGTATACATATGTTATGATACAACCTCAGCAAATTCAATTGAATACGCACTCTTCGCCATATACGTTAAGAAACTATTTAGCTTATTACTTTTTACAACCTCAGGCAGCACTCCCATGGCAAAATAATTATATTGTGTAAATATTGTTAGTCAGTTTAAATAAAGAAATTCTGTAAACTTGAAGAAATATTTTACTGGACCACATTCCATGAAGTACTTACTATAGCAAGTTCCATTTTTCATTTCTTAGTATTTATTTAAAACAACAACAACAAGTTGTAGCTTTAAATAAACAGTAAGGTTGAATAAATAGTACGTCGTTCAACGTCGTTGGGATGCGCTTTTACCATGATCCTAGTTCACAACAACAAAACCGGCAAACCGGCGAGTTACAATAACATTATTATACTTTATCATCAGCCCTTTTACGTCCCCACTGCAGGGGCTCAGGCCTTCCTTATGGATGGTTAAGGAGGATGGGCCATGACCCTCCACGCTGGCCCAATGCGGATTGGAGGGTATTAACGACTGCAAGTGCAGCCGGGACCAACGGCTTAACGTGCCTTCCGAAGCACGGAGTAGCTCGAGATAGTAATTTTTTGGTCACCCATCCCGTGACCGACCCTAACGAAAGTTGCTTAACGACTACGATCGCGGGCCGTGGCGCTTATCCACTACGCCACCGAGCTACTTTACAATAACATCGGTTATCATAATTAAATGCGTATACAAAATATCGTGTACTATGTGCGAAAAATAAAAGCTTAATAATGAAAAAAAGTACTACCAAAAAGTGCTACCTACTACTTTACTACGAGTTTATTCCTGATTATATCGAATACGTATTATAAAAAGATACCAACCTGTTAAATTAACGGCATTTCCTACTGCTACCCAAGCTTTTTCCGTTATCTCTTTTTTGGAATATTCCTTTAAGTTATAATTATATAAGCAAGGATATTTATCCACCTCAGAAACAAATTTAATATTCAATAAATGCTCCGCCATCGTGAAAATCGCTTCGACTTTTGTGGCGACGACCTCGGCAGGCAGGTAGCGTACGACTGGTGCGACGCGAGTCGCGTGACGAATGTCGGCGACGCAACTAGTGTACGAGCCTCCATGAATTTGTATGGCGGTAGTCGCTTGGAAACTAAAATCGTCGAGTATCGAAGATTTGCGTAGCCTAGTGTACGAAGGGCCTAAGGGTACCAACAAGATGGGTTTTGCGCCTTCGTAGCCTGTAGGCCAGCGAAACGCTTGTATAATAATTATCTGTGAAAATAGTTCTTCCAGGTGTAACCCTTTTCAGTGCAGAGCTTAAATACTTTGATGCTATATTTATCGGCATTATTAGGTATATATTGACGAAATATCAATCTTCCGCGCCAAGAAATGAGGGATTCGTCAACACAGATATTTTCACCCGGGGTATACATCTTTTTATAGTTCTCAATAAATTCATCAAGCACATCTCTTATTTTGAATCATCACTACTATAATCCATTTTTTATAAATTCGTCTCTTAGTTGTTTTTCACTTTACAAACTCCCTATTACTTAGTTCTGAAACAAATAAGAAGAAAATTTAGGGAAAACTATTGTTATTACCAACAATTTTAACTTATTTTTTCCTAAATTTTCTTCTTATACGCTTCTCTCTTCTTTTTTCTTCTTTATTGTGTCTGTTCAAAATGCTTATCTGAAACAATATAAAAAATAAATATGAATGTGTATCTTTTTCGCACACATGGCCTGTGAAAAAGTTTTGAACGGTAACTATTTTCACAGGCCCATGTATCGAAAAAGATACACACTAAGTGGAGGGGTTGGGAAAGGGCGGGGGTAGGAAAAATATATCCTGTATCATGTCTAGATAGTTTTATGTTAAAAAAAATGGTTTTTCCAAAATGATCGATTTAGTTTTGGCGTATAAGGCTTGGCGCTGAGCGTGTTAATTGATACGTTACCCGTTCTCTTACGGTTTTTCATGTGGGGTAAAAGAAATTCGAGTAACTCGGCATAATTCCAGTTATTTGTCGGAGAAGCAGCCTGACCACTTGTGCTGGCTTTCGTTCTTTTGAGTGACTCTCGATGACTATCACGTAATTTTTTCCACTCATTCTTCGCAGTTTTCACTGTAACAAACACCAAGTCAAACTGAGTAATATATATTTATGTGTTTCAGGTTTTTAGCTACTGGTACTCCTTTAGAACAATTGGATACAATTACAGAGAGGGTAATAATAAGTTTCTTTGATTGTTAAAGATGTGTGCAATGCACTTTGGTTTCATTTGCAACTAATATATATGAAGTTACCGACACAAAGTGAATGGAAACCAATTGCAGAAGACTTTAATGATAAATGGCAATTTCCTAACTGCCTTGGTGCTGTGGATGGGAAGCATATCTCAATAAAATGTCCTCCTCAGTCGGGTTCTAATTATTTTAATTATAAAAAAATGTATTCTGTCGTCTTTCTTGCAGTCGTTGATGCGCACAAAAGAATTATCATAATAGACGTTGGTTCAATGGGCCGATTTAGCGACGGAGGTATTTTTGCAGATAGCGCATTTGGCTACAAATTACAAAACGGGCAACTAAACTTACCTAATAATAAACCTTTAACGCCTGATAGCGATCCAACACCTTTTGTATTTATAGGTGATCAAGCATTCCCATTACAAAAACACTTTATGAGATCGTACCCACGGAGTAAGTGTTTAGATAACAGAGCAAAAAACACCTTTAACTATCGTCTCAGTAGAGCACGAAATGTAGTAGAAAATGCGTTCGGCATATTGTCAGCGCGATTTCGTGTGTTTCGTCGACCATTCGAATGTCAATTAGAACTAATGGACGTCATTCCAAAGACTACTTGTGTCTTGCACAATTATTTAATGTCTTCAAAAACGACAACTACTAACGGCAATACCGTAAATATTGAAGAACAGCAAACTTTAAGATCGGTACAATACAACAACATACGAGCAACTAGAGAAGCATATCGTGTCAGAGAGTCCTTTTGTAATTATTTTGATAATGTATATTAGATTAAACTTTAAATAAATATTAATTAAACTCACCATCTGGTATGTCTGGATTACTTATTTCTTCCACTATTCTTTTCCATACAACATCCTTTTTTAATTAAGTTGTGATAGTCCTTTGACTGTGTATTCCATAGTACAGGAAATTGTTTAACAATTTCAAAAAATTGCTCCGTATTCGCTACAAAACGACCGTGCGTACGACGAAAGACACTGGACAGCACTGGCGAAGGATGTGCGAAGGGCGTGCGGGGAAGGCGGGAGAGGCCTAGCTTAGCTCGTGTAGCTGCGCATCGGCATACACAACTAACTTAGCTTCGCTTATTTTACTTAGCTTACATAGCTTAGTTCGCATAGTTAACGGTCTGCACACAAGTATGGAAAACTGCGTCAGCTATGCGAGCTAAGCTAAACTAACTTAGCTTAGGTCTTGGTGTGCAACCCGCATTAGAGTTTCCTCTTCCTGTGGCAAAATTATCTCAGGTGCCTGAGATAACTTTCTCTGAACAACCGACAAACTGTCTATTATCTTCAAAATTCTCTTCATCGTGTGGTACAGGCTATTCCAACGCGTTGGAACTTCTTGAATTAATCGCGTCAGGATTCCTTTTTTTTGCTCCTTCTGGAGTGACAATGTGGTGACATTTGATTGTTTGAAATATTTTACGATCCTTTTGCATTTGTCTATCAAGTTTTTCTCGGCTAGTTTAGTTGCAAGTAACACGTGTTCTGCGAATATTGTGCTTCTATAACAGTGAAAATTTGTTTTTTTGTGAAAAATTCTTGTATATTTTTGTACTGGAAGGTGTATTGAAGACGATGTTTTTATATTGAACTATTACAAATTATTTCGTATTGCTTAATTTGGTAAGTGATTAGATTGAAAACTACAGTTCATTATTGAATTAATTAAATAATAAATAAATCGAAAATTAAAGATCAGTTTCAATAAAAGAAAATATGATAATAATGAATTAAATGCAATTAATTAATTATTGTTTTTTATTCGATTACGAACAATGGATAAACCAACGACTAGCAGCATGGCTCATGAAAATAGCTGCATAATATGTATACACCTGTTATTTGTACAATAAATTGCGAATATTCCGTATGTCCACAAACGCGGACAGTAAGGTTTTGATTACATTTTTTTTCCAAATAGGTAAATATGTTGCAGTTAGTAAATAAAGTTTTTTTTCTTGATAAGTGTTATAATTTATGCTAAAATTTGCATGATTAAGTCTTAAATAGTGTCACATCATGTTCTCGAGGGATGCTCTGAGAATTTTGGAAAATGGTAACTTGTCGGAGTTGGAGCTGTCTTCGGATGATGAGGATGTAGGAAATAATAATGTCCCATACACGAAACATGTTCGGTTGGGCGCCGATGTAATAACTCAGAATCAGTGTTGCCGTTCTATAAATTTGAAAAGCGCTAAAGTGTCTGAAAATACCGCCAGATATGAAATGAAATGAAATGAAATGAAAATATAGCAAAAAAAAAATCCACTAGAAAGCGCTAAACTTTTTCACATGTGTAATACGACCAGTTTTATTTTGTTTATACTAACTTATACATATACGCATTATGTTATGCTAAGATAAGCCAGGTAATCATTACATAAAGGCAGATTGGAAATAAAGTGTTTAACTATCCATAAAGAACAATAAACAATCAAAAAATAAGTACAATGTTTTCATCAATTTCAATCAAATATCAAATGTCAATCAAATATCAAAAAAAGTTCAAATCAAATATTGCGTCCTCTGCATCTTCATAAATACTCGTATTGGAGCCTGAAGTTCCAGCCTCTCCTTGCTCTGTAATTCTTCCACTTGCGACTTGATCTATAACTTCGTCAGGAATTTCATATCAGGAGCAATTCTTGTCCTTTACCTTCAGTTGGTTTCTGATGGTAAGCAGGGAATTCAAAGTTTTTTCGGATAACTTGTTACGTAGTTTATTTTTGACGATACTCATGGTACTAAATAATCTTTCGACTTCGGCATTTGAGTGCGGCAATGACAAGACGGCGATAGCAAATTCACATAATTCGTGGAAGGTATTCACATCAGCTGCATTTTTGTATGCCGCTACCTTAGCCCAAAAGGTAACAGGGTCTCCATTAAGTGGACTCCAATCTACGAAGTTAATTGTTCGCCACTGCTGCAAAATCTTATCGATCTTTTCGTCGCAAATTCCGATTTCTTTTGCGAGATCTGTTATGGAATTGTCTTTTGATTGTTTCAATGTTTTTTCTTCAGACAACAGTCTCATTTTTTCCAGAGTTTTATAGTTCGTTGGTAGTCGTTTTTGAATTTCTTCACCCAACTTCACATTTAAATCTATACAGCGTGTTTCTACTGTAGCAATATTTATAGTATGATCAGCTGGAAGTTTCTGCAGTTGTGATTCAAAAACATAGCCAAGGTGTGGAACGGGACTAAGATGGTCTCTTATTTTCAAATTTATAAAATCTAGTTGTTGCTGCTGTTGGCATAATAACTCGTTGACATATTGAACGTAGCAACATCATCAGAGTGCTCAACAGTTTCATTGGATTTGCTTTTTCGCTTTCAAAGATTTTTATAGTTTGCTGCACTTCACCAAGGACGCTTTTTAGAAAGTACAAATATAGTAGATTCTGCTCATCATTATACATAGCATATAGCATTTCGGCTGTATAGCAGTGTTCTCTAGTGGTTTGGCAATGTAACTTCAATTTATACCACTGCGATATTATCCTGACGATTGCAGGTTCAATAGAAAGCCACCTCGTGTCACATACTTTGAGGATCTTTAAAGGTTCTTCACCACAGTTGATTGTTTGAAAAACATGCTTATATTCAATTTGGCGTTTCGTTGAATGAGAAAACCAATTATATGTTTCGCGAACAAGAAACTCAATATTTCTCGGCAAGGTATTTTCGGAAGCGTGAGTTACCGCCAGTTGCAGAGAATGACAGACACAGGGAATAAAAATGAGGTGCGGTAGATTATACTGTGTTTTATGATGTGCCTGCATCCAGTCATAACAGCAGCGTTATCGGTTCCAATCCCCACCAAATTTTGTTTAAGCATTTCACCAATGCTGTTACAATCCCAGTAGCGTCTGAACTTTCAAGCGATTGCAAAGCTAAAAAAGCAGACACTGCTTTGCTTTATTTCAAACTGAAATATCTTATGACTAATCCAAGATACTTCGTGACGCTTATATCAGTGGACTCGTCCAACAATAAACTGTATTTTTGATCACCAATTTTTGAAATGTGGTGCTAGAATGTTATTTATCACCTGTGTGCATTTAGTTCTGTGCAATTTCATGTCTACTGATGATTTCGAATCCTTAAAACTTTTTTTGCATACATCAGTTCAATGATCAATTTGGCGAATGGAAGTATGTTCTGCAATAAATAAGACATTCAGCTCTGGCGCACTGCTTGCATTTCGCTGGTTCAGCTGTCGGAAATTTAATTAGTGTATTTTGGGATACAAGTTGAGATTTTGATTTATGTTTCTTTGTTTCCATATGTCTTTTTAAATCAATCAGTTTCGCGCAAACATCGGCGCTGCAATAAGTGCAAAATGCTTTGGTTGAATCACCTACCACGGGTCTAAGCCAAGGTTTGAAATCTTCGTCACTCACTTCTATAGTTCTGTGAATACTGTTTTTTCTTCAATGGCACCTCCATGTTTCAAATTTTTAACACTTGAACTCGGTTACAGCGAAAGAAATATTTTTTTACCACATAAACTTACAAACCAGTTTTTGCCACCTGAATAAGTCACGAAGTAGAGCGGTAGTAGAAGAATGTAGAGCGGGGGATAAATTTACCGTTAAATTCTTCGGTCTCCCTCTTTTTTAATATCAACGAATGAGAAAGGCAATGAACGAATGAAACATTTTGACAATCTTATCTAAAAGTGGGGGAATTCCCGAGCAATCTACTGCGTTACAATGATACCAGCCTACGAATTTAAAATAGGTGAAAATAAACGTAACTGAAATTATGGTTTCTTATGGTTACATTCATGAATTTCAAGTTTCCAAAAGTACTCAAAGTGAAGTGGAAAAATCCACCAGAAACCGCTAAATATTTATTTTCCGCTAAGTCTTTCTGTTTACGCGCGAGAAGATCCCAAAATCCACCAGTTCTAGCGGGAAAAGCGCTAAAACGGCAACACTGCTCAGAATCAAAGAGAGTATACCTCTCCTAACCCCCCTGATGAAGACAGTAAAAGCGAAGGAAGGTCAACTTTCGATTACGGGCCTGAGCCCGAGGAGCCGAGAGAGTCGGATATTGAGGAGAGCGAAGAGGAGCAAGCTACGCTGAATAGTGGTGAGATTTTCGATTATCTTACACCAAAACAGAATATCAAGTGGAGGCATAGACAAATAAATAACACAATACCAACGGACAAATAACTTTAGATCCAGCCGTGTAAGATCCTCTTGATTTCTATCATATGTTCCTGTATGGCTTTTTGAACAAATGGCTGAAATGACAAACCTTTATGCTGTGCAATCAGGAAAAACCAGGTATAAGCTTACGTCCAGCAATGAAATAGAAATTTTATTTGGTTTACATATGGCAACGGGAGTATTCAACTATCCAGTTTTGAGAATGTATTGGGAAAACCACGTTAGCATACGTCTTTTACTAACAATATGGCAAGAGATAGATTTTTTGAACTTGGCAACAATTTACATTTAGTGGATAATATGAAAAAACCCACAAATTGCACAGACGTATTCTATAAAGTAAGGCCTATCTATGATGCATTCCGAAGCCAATGCTTAGAACTACCAGTAGAAAGAGAATTGTGCGTTGATGAACAAATAGTTCCCTTTACAGGGAGACATTCTGTCAAGCAGTATGTCAAAGGCAAACCTTGTCCATGGGGAATCAAGCTATTCTTCTTGTGTGGGAAAAATGGTATGATTTTATAATTTATCAAAATTCCATTCCAGAATTGGATAGGACGTTGATAAAAAAAGTTGGTTTTGGCGCATCAGTAGTATTACATCTAATAAAAAGAGTCGGTGAGAGTAGAGGTCATGAGTTGTACTGCGATAATTACTTTTCGTCTTATTACATGCTCCAAATTCTGAAACGCAGAGGTATAATCTACCTGTACAGCCCGTGTCAATATATTTTGAAGGCCACCATTGCTCAGTGACAAAGATATAAAAAAGAAACCAAGGGGTTTTGCTGAAGAGATTTGTAGTACGGATGGGGATGTTGCTATGGTAAAATGGCTTGATAACAAGCCAGCCAACTTAGCATCCAATTTTATTGGCATAGGAGAAAAAGATGGTCCAAAACGGAGAAGAGATTTATAGAAGTTGAGAGGCCTGAAATCGTGAAGAAGTACAATCACGCCATGGGAGGGGTTGATCTCCTTGATCAACTTCTGAGAGTTATTACAGAACCTTCGTAAAGTCGAAGAAGTGGTCTTTGCGGATGATATTCCATTCATCAGATCTGACAGTTGTTCAAGCCTACCGTGAGTATGATATGGATAATGACTTGCTTGGGATACCAAAAGCAAAACGGCTCACACTTCTTCACTTTCGTCGACACCTAGCTGAAAGTTCAGTTCTCCGAAACAAAATATCAGCTGCTAAAAGGGGTCGTCCGAGTAGTTCCAGCAGTCCTTTACCGGTAATTGTTCCAAGAAGACTGGGAGAAGTACGTCCATCAAGTGAAATTGCTCGAGATGGTGTTCGTCACTTTCCAGCTCGTGACGATGGCTCTGGACCGCGGTGCAAGTTAGCGGGATGCAAAGGGAAATCCCGCATCAAATGCATAAAGTGCACTTGTGTCTGACCAAAGAAGTTTGTTTCCTAAGTTTCAATACATAAGTAACTGAAGTTCCTATAATTATTATCTTGTTTTGTTTATAAGGTTTTTTATGTTTTTCATTTTGTTAGAAGATTTATTTTTTGTTTTGAAGATGTTGGATTAGACTTTATTTGAATATACCTACTTTTATCGTCATGATTTAATAACAGAAAATTGGTACGATCAAAAATATAATAGTAAAGAAGAAGAATTTCATATAAATAAAAATTCATAGAAATACTGCAGTGTAGCATGTTTACAGTGCAGCGGAAATAGTTGTTCCAATACTTCACTTATTATACAGATAGATGAAGTAGAAAAAAATATTTGATGTAGAGAACAATGTAATATATTTAAATAAACAGATTTTGTAATAATATTTTTTTTCTTTTCATTAGTTGTAATTAATTACCTTATTTTTTTAAATGTTATTTCATTTATAATGAAACTGGCTGAGAAATTCCATTGTACATAATAGCAGCTGTCGCTCCGATCTCCCCTCCACGTTTTTCTACCTGTTCGAGATCCCTACTGCTATTTTTATATACAGGTATCTTTAAAAAAAAATCCTATATGTCTACTCAGGTAAGATTTAACATATCGCACACCTAGACCTAAACTAAGACAACTCAAAAAACTAATGTGGAGGTCTGACAATACATTTGTTTACGTGGCAGGAGCGTGACCACTGTTGATTCAACAAAAGAACTAACAACTTTAATAACTTTAGATAAGTTATCTAGCGGTTCATCCCCGAACCTTTATTGAATGTGTTATGTTGGATAGATGCGTATGATCACCTAGTATTTGAATATTGTACTAAGTCAAAACTCACTCAAATTTTTGAGTTATCTTAGTTAGATCTAGGTGTGCGATATAAATAAAAAAAAACTGTTTAAAGTGAAAATAACGGTCAAACATTAATTGTTTATAATAATTTGTTTAAACAATGAAAAAATGGAGTGCACAAAAAATTGTTGGGTAAACATTGCAATTTTTAGTTTAAAAAACAATATCCCACATCGATCAAATTAATTCATTCACTATAACTCTAATCCGAGGTTTTACAGTTTTGAATACTCCAGGCACTCCACTACTATTCTAGCTAAAATAAGCTTAAGTTTAGCTTTGGCTTCCAAGTAAAGTTTTGGCATTATATCATATCGTATTACTCTGTTATCGGGAATTTGATAGGCCGGGTTCATCGATTGGACAAACTTTCGAAATCCCTTGTCATGTCATACAATTGAAAATGGCTGAAAATCTGTCGCTGTCATTAAGGTTCGTTTTTGATCACTTCTTTTTTTTTGATCTTAAAATCAGTTATGAAAGCATTATTTTATTTTTCATGGTAGATCAACGGTTGCATAAATGAACTTACAGTATCGATACATAAATCAGATAACCAATTAAAGATCCACACAGTTAGCCTTAAAATTAGGTAACAATTTTTAGTTCACTCGGTAGTTGTGAGGTAAGACAAGACACATATTACACAAATAGTCTAAGATCCCGCTATACAACGACCTTCACCGAGCTGGTTAATGGATGAAAGATATTCTTTATCAAATAAAATAAGTCAATAAATATATTGCGAATGGGTTGTCTAAAAAATTTCAGTCCAGAATATGATTAATTAACAATTAAAAAAAATTTTTTTTTTAAATTACACTGGCTTGGTTAATGAACAAATTCCATTCCAATCGAAAATATGAAACCTATAGAATATACAAACATTAGGTTGACTATTTATTTCCCGTCACAACTCTTAGGTAGGCAGGTATAAACAGGTAAATCGATAACAGTAACTTGCACCGGTCTGATTATTGAATGAAACTAAAATAAAAATAAAGATAATTTTATTACGAACACGGTGGTATAGGGTTGTCTGCAAAAAATCAGTCCTGAATTGCGGTTGTTGAATTTTAAAAAGTGAAATATTGCTGCGAGTGAATACGTGCGACAGCGAGGTCCCAGCAAACCATCCCATGCGATAGAAGAGGACACAGCATTGCAGCTGTCTATAGTTTGTTGGTTGAATGTAAGAGAGCGCGCATGCTATTTGTCGGTGAAAACGAAAAGGATAGCAATAGACTAGTAAATGCTACGCGTCATTTTGGAGTAGATTGTCGCTACATTTGTAATTGAAAACACGTGCTACTATTTATTATTGTGAAAAATGGCTAAAAAGTGTTTTTTGTGTGATTCGGATGATGGTGTTATTGATTTTAATGTTGAAACTTTTAAAAACTGTTCATTAAAGTTAGCTTTTCGTAAAATTAAAAACTTCAAATACAATGAACTTGTTATCGAGCTGTTTACTGTATCGTTTGTTTAGCTAAAGTAGCAGTCATTTGTATTACACAAGAAGGCAGTTTGGGACTCAGATTCTGTCATAGGTATTTTGTATCAGCATTTTGAAATTATTAACTATCGAACCAAATCATTATTAAGTAATAATGTCGAAAAAGTGTAAAAATTGTAACAATATTTAAATAATATGTAAAATTATTTTCAATATTTTTTTCATGATGAAATAATTGTTACTTAAATTCACCTATGATTTTGTAAATTTTTGAGACTCAAATTTTTTAACTAACTTAAAAAATTGTTGTTTGTAATATAAACAAGAAAATTATCTGATTTTTGTACTTTTTGTAACATAATTAAATATGAATGTTTTTATTCAACTATTCAAATTAAGAAATTTATAAAATCTATATATTGAACATTTTAATTTAATCGTAAAATTTGGCTTTGTTAGGAGCTTATCAATGCATCTACTACTGATCGAGAATCAAAACGTTTGAGTCCTAGTGTTGATTCCTGGGCTACAGTGACTGTGGATGGCAAGAGTAATGTTGATGACAAGCCTCAAACTTCTAGGGATTTTGATAAGGTAACAAAATGTTTAAGATTTTTTTTTAAGCTACTTTAATAAAATGATATAAAAATCTATATCAATCGAATCTTTATTCTCCATTATATTTTTCTCCGTCCATTTTTAGTTAAAAAATATTTTTAATTCTTTTAGGAGCAGTCAACATCAACAGCATCGACATCCAACAAAACCATTTGTCTCTTTTGTGACCATAGCCAAAAAAGATGTGGGAAGAAGCTGGTTAATCTTATTTTCCCTCAGAGTGACAAAGTACCACTGCAGATAACAAATATGGCCAACAATTTTGGTGATTCGGTGATTCTTTCCAAACTTCAACATCAAACTGTTGCATACCATCAGCCTTGTTACGCAGCGTATCAGTCAAGAAAGAAGCGGTCCATCGAAGAATCTACCGATTCCAGCTACAGTAAATATAGGCAGTTTCATCAGTTAGCCTTTGAATCGATATCGAATTTCATTGAAATGGAAATAATAGACAACAACAAGGTTATGTACTTGGCTCAATTATTTTTAAGATACCAAGCTTTACTGTTAGAGTTCGGAAATCATGAAATTGATTTTGACGATATACAAGATTATCGAATTGAAACCTTGCAAAAAAAATTATTGAATATATTTGGTGACCGTATTACGTTTGAAGCGTCGAGTGGATTACGTAACAAAAAAATTGTATACAAAACAGACATCGAAATTTCTGTTATGGCAAATAGTGTAAAGTTTTTGGAGGCAAAAAATGATTGCAAATTTGAAGATGTTGCATATTATTTGAGAAGCTGCATTAAAAATATGGATGTTCGTCGGCTTCCTCGCAACGTAACTGCTGATGACATCATTCGAGGAGAATGTGATATTCCTGAACAATTCATTGATTTTATGCAAAATCTTATCCAAGGGCCTATGTTTCTGATGTCTATCGGAAAAACTGAAAGTTAAAATTACATCAATATGTAGTGATATTATTTATACTGTCACTAGGGGTACATGTAAGCCAGCGAAAAGTTTAACCCTTGGATTGGCAGTAAAGTCTTTAACCAACTCTCGGCAAGTAATCACGATACTCAATAGGTACGGCCATACGATTGGATATAATTTGGCTGAAGAACTGGAAACCGAAATGACTTATACGTCGATCCATGATAACAAAATTATACCAAAAGGCATCACTGCAGCAAATGGACATAGCACTCACGTAGCATTCGACAATTTTGACCGCTTCGTAGACACAACTTCTGGAAAGGACACAATGCATGACACAGTTGGAATTATTTATCAATTCCCTAGTGATGAAACTGATAATTTAGATGATGGTGAAGCTACAACTTCATCAGCGCCAACGGTAAATGACAACGAAAATGGAGAAGGGCCTTCCCGTAAGAGAAGGCGTTTCAATGAAATATCACGGGAAATTCGACCATATTATTCTAAACCGAAGACAAGTATGCAGCTGATTACAGCAGATTTGTTTACCAATACAGTGGACTTATGCAAAGGTGCTAGAGAAATAGCAACAGATAAGGATTTATTATGGATAATGTCGTTATCAAGAATAGATTCTGTTCCAATGTGGTTGGGTTATAACTGCATGATGTCAATTGATCACAGTGAAAAGCAAAAGATTGAGTATTTGCCTCCAATAAATTCTTCTCCAACATCTTATGCAATAGTCAACGAAACATTAAATATGGCTAAAGAAATTGCTGAAAAGTGTCAACAGGCAGAAATTATTGTGACATATGATTTAGCGATAGCAAAAATGGCAATGCAGATCCAAGAACAAGAAAAGCCACAATACAATAATATTTTTGTTAATTTGGGAGCGTTCCACACAGAGATGGCATTTTTCAAAGCGATTGGAAAATATATAGACTGCAGTGGACTAGTGGAAATACTAGTACAAGCAGAAGTATTAGCTGGTGGCTCCATGAATAGCTTTTTAGACAGCAAGCATTTCAATCGGTGCAAGCGCTTACACCCGCTAACTGCTGCTGCATTGCAAATATTACATTTTCAACAGTATTTATCCACAACTAATATCGCCGTTGAGGCGATGGATGAACTGCTCCAGACGCAAATTCAGAATGAATCAAATCAGGCTGCGTATGACGTCAACGAAAGAATCGAGTTACCAGATTTATTAAGTCGTATTTTGAACGGATATAAAGAGTTCTGTCATCAGACTTTGATAGGAGAAAAAGGGAAAACTGCTCAATATTACTATCAGTACTGTGAATTACTTAATTTATACCATCGGTTTTCCAGAAGTATCCGCACCAGTAATTTTGAACTGTACGTCGACTCAATTTTCAACATGTCTGATTTATTTTTTGCGTTAAACCAGCCTAATTATGCCAGATGGTCCTTATTATATTTGAGCAATTTGATCAATTTGTATACTAACAATTCATCCTTGGTAGCTGAATTTCGTCGAGGCGCCTTTGGAATCAGACGAACTACAGCAAATTTTGCTCGATCACCGGTTGACTTGACGCTTGAGCAGACCATCAATGCTGATGCTAGCAATCAATTGGCTGATAATCTTGCCGCAGACTCAATATCAGCACGTCAAAGATGGGCGCTTAGTCATAGCATGAGGACGAAGATATTAACAACTATCAAACAAAATATCGGATTAACGAAAAAAGATGATACTTCGCACTCATTGCAAAAAAGTAAAGTTAAGAAAGATAAAAAAAATCTTAACAGCATCGTTGAAGCAATAAAATGTACGATGAATCCGTTTGATGACACTATTGACAAAGATATTTTATTCAACATTTCGACGGGTAAAGCTGCATCTACAGAAGTGACAGATTTCCTGCTTAACGTGAAGACAGCAGGTTATCAACAAAAATTAAATTTTATCTTGGAATGCTCTTCAACTCCTGCAAGATTCGATAAACCTATAAAACGAAACAAAATCTTCAATTTTGCTTCTCAATGCATGACTAAAGTTCTCAGTAGCAAAGACAAGAACAAGAAAGTATTATTGAAAATGGAACGAGATATATTTGGCCGACTTTTGGCAATTAGTCTGAACAAAAAAATAAATCTCGAATATTGCCTGACTTTTCCACTAGCACCAATGCCACCAGCTCTTTTTTCATGTACTGGAGAGATGTTAAAAACTTCAAAATCTACGTTAGCAAAGATTTTGAAATCAGAAACTAAAATGGTTGAGCCAACATATATCAACGTTGAAATAATTGATGGTTTTTACTACTTACACTTAATCGGATCTTCTATGCCCCAAACTTTTGATAAAATTGCAGAAACAATACTTATCAAAATATGTTCAACAAACGCAACAGAAGTACATTTAATTTTTGATCGTTACTTATCACCGTCAATTAAAGATTCCGAACGTGAAAGCCGAAAAGAATTCGATATTCCGTACAAAATTTCGGGACCTCAACAAACCAGACCTAATAATTTTTTACAAAGCCTTAAAAATTCTCGTTTCAAAGAGGCTTTGGTGCTGTTTCTGGCAGATTATTGGGAGAACAACCATTTGGTAACAATAATCCAAAACAAAAAAAAATTCTTAACCGTCAACTATCAGTGCTATTCTTATCAAGTTCATGAAAACTCCATAAAAAAAAGTGAAGAAGTTAATTATGAATGTCATCACGAAGAGGCAGATACGAGGATTATTTTTCATGCTCATAAAGCGGAACCAGGGTCAAGGATTTTAATTAAAGCCTCTGATACTGATGTTTTGATTATTTTGTTAGGAAATATGCACAAAATTTCAGAATCAGAAATTTGGCTTGCCACTTCAGCAACAAAAAAGACTAATAACCAACCTGTTGATTGCATTAATTGTACTGATCTAGCATTGAAGTTAGGACTTAAATTGTGCCAAAGTCTTCCCGCCTTCCATGCGTTCACAGGTTGCGATTACACGGCTGCATTTCACAATAAAGGAAAGGTAAAACCTTTTAAGCTGCTTTCAAAAAATGAAAAATATCAAACAGTTTTTGCGTCACTAACAGATGAAGCTGATATTTTCATTAACGAAAAAATGAACACCGTTCAAGAATTTACTGCCAATATGTATGGCGTCAAGAACTGCACAAAAGTGAATGAAGTGAGATATCGCATTTTTCTGAAGAAATATTCTGCCAAAGAAGACAGCGAGCAGTTTAAAAAAAAAATAAAAGGCTTTGACTCCAACTCTATACCACCATGCTGGATATCATTGACTCAGAAAATTTTACGAACTATTTTCGTAAATTCCATGTGGCTTAATGCAACGGATCCAGTATGCGTGAAACTTCAACCTGAAAACTGCGGTTGGTTCTTCGATGAATATTTAAAACCAGTAGGATTCATTGGGGATCATACACCTTTAAGAATAGAAGATATTGTCGAAACAACTGAAACAGAAAGCGATGACGAAGAATGTTCTGACATTGAAGATCACAATTACATGTCTGATGACTCGGATCCTGAATAATTTGAAAATTTTAAAAACTTTTGTATAATATATACACACATATGTAATTAATTTATAAAAATAAATATTTAAAAAACATTCTTCTATTTTAATATTAACCTATCCAAAATGACGCGTAGCATTTACTAGTCTATCGCTATCCTTTTCGTTTTCACCGACAAATAGCATGCGCGCTCTCTTTCATTCAACCAACAAACTATAGACAGCTGCAATGCTGTGTCCTCTTCTATCGCATGGGATGGTTTGCTGGGACCTCGCTGTCGCACGTATTCACTCGCAGCAATATTTCACTTTTTAAAATTCAACAACCGCAATTCAGGACTGATTTTTTGCAGACAACCCTATACCACCGTGTTCGTAATAAAATTATCTTTATTTTTATTTTAGTTTCATTCAATAATCAGACCGGTGCAAGTTACTGTTATCGATTTACCTGTTTATACCTGCCTACCTAAGAGTTGTGACGGGAAATAAATAGTCAACCTAATGTTTGTATATTCTATAGGTTTCATATTTTCGATTGGAATGGAATTTGTTCATTAACCAAGCCAGTGTAATTTAAAAAAAAAATTTTTTTTAATTGTTAATTAATCATATTCTGGACTGAAATTTTTTAGACAACCCATTCGCAATATATTTATTGACTTATTTTATTTGATAAAGAATATCTTTCATCCATTAACCAGCTCGGTGAAGGTGCCAATGCGATAACACAAGTAATGTAAGAACTTTTTTGTATATTTTCAAGCCTATCAATGTATACAGCGTATTGTGGGTTCCATATTTGCGAGGCGAACTCCAAACCACTACGAACGTTCGAACAATATAGTATCTTGATTGTTTTAGCTTCAGTGAAATCTTTGGTGTTACCAATTAAGAAACTGAGAGCTTTCGTAGTTTTAGATACTATACTATCAATATGATCGTCATATAATAACTTGGAATCATGCACCACACCCAGATCACGCATAGAATGGACTCGTTGAAGACTCCGTTGTTGGAGAGTATAATTGTATTCAAGTATTTTCGGTTTACGAGAGAAGGTCATGACTGTGCACTTAATTGGGTTTAAAGCCAATTTATTTAGAGTACCACAACCTTCGAGCCGCTTAAGATCTTCTTGTAAAAGTTTGGCTTAGTCAAGACTACGTATCTTTGCGAATAACAGTTTTGATGTATGTAAACATAAGTCAATATCATTCACAAAAATGCTGAACAGCAATGGCCCAAGCAGCGACCCTTGAGGCACACCACTGGGAACCGTGACCCAGCTGGAGATATAATTGTTTATAACCACGGCCTGACAGCGATTTTCAACATAAGAGGCAAACCAACGCAACAGGTTGCCGCGTATACCCGTCAATTCAAGCTTGTACAAAAGGATAGCGTAAGGAATTCGATCAAAAGCAATTATCCTGAGTAGTATTGATATAAACTACATCGTCAAGAGAAAAAGAAGATGTATCTGCTTGTGATG